CTCCGCCGCCGCGGTCCCGCAGCTCGGCCCCGACCCCCGCGCCGCCGCGGCTGCCGCACCGAGAACTCGAAGGGGGGCCGGCTGAGCGCTGCCTCAACGCGGCGCTTGCCTACCGCTTGGCCCCCTTTTCACACATTTTTGAGACTTGTCGGCTTCATCCAATGAGCTGATCAAATTTTACATCCTATGTTGCCAGAGAGGATTATGGGGCAACTTCATGGTGTCGATCACATCCAGGGCGCCGATCCGGGAAGGCCGGGGGGGTGGGGGGGTGGGGGGTAGAGTGGAAAGAGCACGGCCCTCGTGAATAGGCAGGCAGTGTGAACCCCAGCAACGCCCTCCACACAGTAGGTTCCCAAGAAAAGTGTTTTCCGTGGATCGAAGCGGTATTTTGTAGAGGAAAAAAAAATCACGTCAGGCAACCCCCCCCCACCGCTTCTTGGGCCTCAGTTTCCCCAAGTGCCCAATGAGGTCGTTGGATTCGGTCTCTGGAAAGCGCTCGCAGTCGTGATTTGGAACTTTCCGGCTGTCCCTGCAAAGCACCTCTTTCAGGCTAGTTGCATACTTATCAAATTCTAAGAGTCACGGTCAGAAATGCTATTGATTTTTTTCCCCCGTCAGTATTCTTGCAAGGTTTTTTGTCATTAAAAAAAAAAAATGGGTTACGGGGTTTTATGTGTGGTTTACTTTCAACTACTGAAAATTCCAAAATGAAGAAGGGGAAAGAAAATAGGAAAACGAAATCCCAAACACGGGATTTTCTGCTCTAGTGTAAAATTCAGTACCTTTTAGGGGGGAAAAAAAAAAAAAGCTTACCTAATTTCCAACACCTTAAAAATTCTAGTTAATTAAAACATCATAATAATACCAAAATTAAACTAAAACGGTATGTGATACTAAAGTCTTTTCCTTGGGTTCAGTAGCAACCCACTTGTAATGACGCAATCCTTTTTCAGTGCAGACAATTCCAGAGCAAATTGTGTTAAGAGAAGAAAAATTATCCCTGAGCTAAGAATAACAGCAAAAATGGGAGAAACTAACATGTAATAATTTTTTAAATTTAGGGAAAAAAGTTAGAATTTCACAGTTTTTTGTTATAGAATATTTGCTAAGTCTCCAGAACGCCTTACAAAGATAACGGAAGCTAAATCTTCTAGCAAAATTGTTTAATAGTTCCCAAGTATGAAAATTAGTATATAAAATAAAATGATCTAATTATTAAGCTTTATCATCTTCCTTAAAAGAAATACATGTTTCTAAGTTAAATGTAAGAGAAGAAGAGGGGATTGTGCCCTTTCTCTGCAAACCGGGCTTTTTCACGATTCATTAAACCCTTTTTCCATATGTGTAATTGGACTCTTCTCATTTACATAAAGGAGGGATGAGGCAAAAGACCTAAGATCAGCCCAAAAGGAGAAATACGTTTCTCATTCTCCTATGTTAAAAAATATTGTAGAAGAAAACTGCAAGAAGGCAGAGCCCCACCCCATATGCCAGCCCTGAAATAGTTCATGGCCAAGGAGTTAGCAGCTTTCCCAGAGCTTTAAGGATTGCCGTGCACATAGTGCCTCACAGTTATTATCAGAGGCACATGTTTTTATTTTATTTTCTCTAAGTAAAAAGCTTTTATTGAAATGACTGACAGTAGGACACCATATCCTATTTTCTCCCTTCATTTTTGATTGGGTTAAATACCAAGAAGAAAGACTGCACTGTCTTTGAAAGAGCACAACCCTCTGCTTGGGCTTGAGTTGTCTGGCTGGTATCCTCCATTCAGTTGGTTTCAGCACCTGATTAATTAGTTAATTAGTACTTAGGGCTTACTAGCCCCAGTCGGCAATTTTCATGCCCTGCATGGTGAAATGTTGAATCCAGCAGTGCAATTTCTGTCGCACACCCTAATTATTATCACCCCACTACTTTTAAAACCATTGCACAAAATTATTATTATAGACAGAGCCAGACAACTGTGTGGGAATATGTTCTTTCTGAGAAATAATGGTAGACTTAATCAATATTTTTCACCATTGCCCTTAACACATTTAAATAAAACAATTGAATGGGAAAAATTCTAATTCAATTAGCCTCCAACTCCTTCCACAGAGAAAATGATTTTATATGAGAGAGATGTTAGAAAAATCACACCAAAAAATTTTAACGTTTTATCAGTTCCTCAGATGGCAAAGAGTGTGTTTACAAAATATCCTATCTGAGATTAGTTTTGTTTCTGCATAAGTCTAGAATGTCAGGAATAAAAAAAAGAATAGAAAATAGAAATGAAACAAAACCAAAAAAATCAAGATCATTTTAACTAGCTGTAAGAAAATGATGCTATCTGTGGTGTTTGGGGTGGGGGGACTTTTGATGTTTAAAAATACTGACATGGTTTAGGAATGAGTTTTCTATGGGAAAAAAAAATATTCCTTGGCCGCTCCCCCATTCTTCCATAAATTTGATGTCATGGCTAAGGTTAAATATCAACTCGGGGAAAATAGTTTTAGAAAATAAGTTAGGACACAAACCGAGAGGAGTCTAATTTTTGGCATTTCTCAATGTACCATTACTGAAAAGAGCCCCAGTGTTTCAGTGATTTTCAATATTATTGGTAGCTATTTTCACCTGAAACAATCCTTATATATCAGTAGTGGGTTGCCTGTAATTGTAAGAGCTTAATGGTACACAAAACTGGATACACAACCACACAGATCCGTAAATGGATCGGACTGAAAGCAAAAGTAAACACCAACCTTAGGAAATGAAAGAAGTTAAAAGATAAGTGTTAAGGACCTTATTCTTTTTGGAGAATAAAACAAGATTTAGTAGCTTTCCACTTAATTTAAATGAAAAGAATCACTACCTTACATATTGCAGTGATAATGTAATGGGGAAAGAAAACAAAAAAGTCTTTGTACAAATGACACCTCCTATAGTTTTTGTGAAGAAACTTTTCCCCTTGGTATCTGCTAACAAATTCTAATTAATGCTGCACATTCCTTTACTGAAATCATTTAATGCGTAACAAGGGGGGTAAAAAGAAATGCTGAATGCTCGTGATTGCCCTGTTAGAATTATGGGAGTGAAAGCCTGGGGCCCCAAACTTACTGTCTATTAAAGCCAAGCTTTGAAAAAGAAATGCAACCTACAAAAGCTGTCAATCTCCCTTGCCCCTAAAGCCTGGGTTCACATGGATTCAAGTGACAGCCCTCCTCCCCCATGCACAATACATCAATCTGTCTCTCCCACAAGCACCCACAGCCCATTGTGCTGGCCGCAGGTGCCTATTATGGCACCCATGGCTGCCTCCCACAGCTCCGCCCCTGAGAAACAGGAACTGCAGACAATGGAGCCCTGTGGGAAGACAGAGGTGGGTGTTGGGAGGGATAACAGACAGATGGTAAAGGGTATAGGGTAGTAAGGTAGTTTCAAAACAAATGTCAAACATTCAAAATTATTGCTTTCGCGTATCTCCCCTTTTGAATTGCCTTTGCTTCAATCACCATCTGCCATAAATATAAAAAGAATTACCTGTTATGATGAATATTTCTCCCCTTTTTGGGTAATAGTGGAGGGGATGACCTTCAATACTCTACTCCTCCTATTTAACCTCTAGGTTTCTCAAGGTCACAGACTAAGGAGTTTTAGTTAAGTGATACCAGTAGACCATATAGAGAGAAGAAGGAATATTTCTAAATTTTTTGCAAGGTTTGTGATTTCCCTTCGAGCTTAGTTTTGGGCTCCTTAAAGGGGCGAGGTTTATAAAAACTAATTACTTCAGGTAATATATTTATGAAATCAAAGTACTATAAGACTTTATACAAATGTCATATCAGGCAGGTGGAAATTTTTAGGCCATTTCTTTTCTGGTAAGGAGTCACATAAAGGGAGATGAGGTGGATTTAAAATAAAAGGACTGAAGGTTTCTGATAGCTTCTTTTCCTATTCCCAAACATGTCAACAAAAATAAGTAAAATTGTAAAAAAAAATACTAAATACTATTCACATCGAGTGCCATTATCAGAAAAAAGTACATTTTAAACACTTCATTTCATAAAATGTCACTTGTCTATGCTGTTTTTAATCTTCTGAGTTATGGACTAATTAAGAAGCAATAAAAGAAAGAATTCAAAATATATGCCAAAAACACATATACTAGTTCAAGTAATTTGATTTAGTTGTTTTTGCCCTTACTTTATCATCTCAATAAACCACCTTATTCCTGTCTCCAAGATAATGTGTCATAAATTAAAACCAAGCTAACAATAATTTCATCACTACTACTACTACCTGTCTCAAACGAAAAGCAACCAAGAAAAATCTGGCACAATTGTAAGTCATGGTCAAGAGGACTGGTGACTTGTTGGAATGAGGGTACCCCCAAAATAATGCTAGAAACTAAAACCAGCCAGTTTTCCTGAAGCAAACAAGAGGGTCTTGGTTTGCTGTCAAAAATTACAAACTAGATTTTAACTAGGGACTGTCAGGGATCCAAGTGAGCTCCTCGCCAGGGAGAGCTTAATTAGCAGAGTTGGTTTGGGTTTTTAAATTACACAAGAAAAACAACCAATACAGTATGAAAGCACACAGTGGTCGAAGGTAGCACAAAATTCACTATTCCGTTATAGTGTGTGTGTAATGATTTTGCACATTTCGTTAACAATTTAAATTTAGATTTTAAACATTATTTTTATGCCCATTATGAGGACATGTTTCTTTTGTTTTCTTCTTAAGTATCCTTTCAGAGATCTTAATGTATTTATCACCAAATACAAATATGCATGCCCCCTCTTTTTTATATAAATATTGGCATATTGCATACACTTTTTTTCTCACCCAAGAGATCTTGGAGATCAGTCCATATCAGAACATTAAGAGCTACGAGAGTGTGCTTCGTAAATGTGAATAGTCTTGAGTCATATTTGGTATTTGTAAAAGTTAAGACCCCAGTTCAACAATGGGAAAATATATCATTCCAATATTGAGCTACCAAAGTGATCAAGCCATTTGGAGGCTACTCTTATTTCTCCTAAAGATGATTGCATTAGGCATTCCATTTCAAATGCTCAGAAATTAGTACAGCTAACTCCAATTATCCATTTAAATGGGAGCCAGAGAAAATGTGGAGGAGAAAGTTGCAGATAACCCATAGATACGACCTTTGTTAGAGACGCTTACATGGAAAAACTTTGAAGATATTTATTGGGAGAGTTTGTGAATTGTTTCTATAGCATCCAAAATATTCAGAGTTCGAGAGAAATCACTAAGGCTTCCCACTTGATGCATGGTCTATTATTCATACTTCTGGTATCTCACAAAAATGACCTTGCTTAATTGATTTAACTGATTAAAAGATGCCAGGTTTTAGCTGTAAAATTAGTTGACAATACACAATCCTTTTACCTGTGCTCCAACACCAAGTTCTTTACATCTAGATGTTTTCCATGGGGCTCTTGAATCTATCCATTTCAAATTAACATGGTTTGCTGGTTAAAATCCAAGATTTTTTTGTCAGACAAACCTGGGTTCTAATCCTGGCTCCGGTACTTGAAAGTGGTATGATTTAACTTCTCTGATACTGAGTTTTCTCTAAAATGCGGATAATAATAGTATCTACCTCATAGGTTTGTTGTAAATAGTAGTTTATTATTTGTAGTAATACTTAATAGTAGGTAGTTTGTTGTAATCTTTCGTAAAGATTAAATGAGACCGGGCATTCACTGTTAAAAACAATGACTGGAACATAGTAAATCCTCAAAAAACAGTACTTATTATTACTATTAATAATAATAATATCAGTTATAGGACTCTAAGGATTAGCTAAACGGGTTCTCAAATCTGACTGATCAGCAAAATCACCTGGGGGCACTTTTTTAAAAATGCACATACCTCAGCCATACCTCCCCCAAAGAAACTCTAATTGAATAGGTCTATGGCAGGGCCTGGGAATCTATATTTTAAAGTACCTCAGAGGTGCACAATAAAAGAAATCCCAAGATGACAACTGCTAAGCTGACCAAGAAAGCAATAGGTCATAATTAGAACAGGAAGTCAAAGGGCTCAGTGAAGAATATCCCTAAGATGGATGCAAATTCCATAATTAACCTACATAACTAAGAAACCAGAAGCTATTTATATGTGCTTTTGGTTGACAATAAAAATGAAATACAATTAGGCACCCTAAGGAAAACAAAAGCTGTATGATGATCCCTGTTCTAATAGGAAGCATACTAAAGTGTGGCATCATTATGAGCCATTGAAGGAGTGTAAGAAAAGAGAATCTATTTGATTTTGACATTTAAAACATTTTTCTACCAGCAGCACTTTTTTAGTGCCATATGATTACATTTTTTCTCTATAGGTTCAATCGCGCTACTTGGTCCTGCTGTGAATAATATTTACATGAAACTTAATATGGAGAATGCTGTTATTTTTTTTGATTCTTTAATTAAACTTCTTATTTTGAGGTAATTATAGATTCACATGCAGTTCTAAGAGATAATAAAGAGATCCAGTGTACCCTTTACTCACTGTCCCCCAACAGCAACATCTTGGAAAAGTATAAAACAATATCACAATCAGAATATTGACACAGATACAGCCAAGATGCAGCACAATTCCAGCACCACAGGGATCCCTTACATTCCCTTGTTATAGCCACACCCTCTTCCCTTCCATCCCCTCCCCTCCCTAATCCATGGTAACCAACAAACTGTTCTCCATTTCTATAATTTTACAATTTCAAGAATGTATGTAAATAATATAAATACAATCAGTATGTAACCCTTTGGGATTGGCTTTTTACACTCAGCATAATTCTCTGGAGATTCTTCCAGGTTGTTGCCTGTGTTAATGGTTCCTTCCTTTTGATTGCTGAGTAGCATTCCATTGTGTGGATGCACCATAGTTCATGTAACCATTCACCTGTTGAAGGGCATCTGGGCTGTTTCCAATTTATGAATAAAGCTATCACTAATAAACCTGCTCTGAACATTTGTGTACAGGTTTTTGTGTGAACTTAAATCTTCTTTTCTCTGAGATAAGTGCCCAGCAGCACAATGGCTGGGTTGTATAGTGCCTGTATGTTTCATTTTTTAAAGAAGCTGCCAAACTCTTTTTCCAGAGTGGCTGCACCATTTTACATTTCCACCAGCAATGTATGAGTGATCCAGTTTCACCACATCTTCATCAGCATTGGTTATTCTTACTAATTTTAGCTCTTTTGATAGATGCATAGTGATATCGCATCGTGATTTTAATTTGTATTACCCTAATAACTAATAATATTGAACATATTTTCATATGCCTATTTGCCATCTATATATTCTCCTTGGTGAAATGCTTCTTCATGTCTTTTGCATCTTGGTTTTATTTTTTCAAATCAAGCTACAGATAAAGCATACTGAGGATTTAATTAGAGTTGTAAAACAGATTTTATTTTACTTTTACTTTTGTTATTTTATTTTTTAGTTTAACACTTGAAAAGCACTTACTATGTACCAAATACTATTTTAAGTGCTTTGAAATATTTATTTCAAGTGAAATTTAATCTTACAGCAACCCTATGAAGTAGATACTATTATTATCATCTCCATTTGACAGTTGACGAAACTGAGGGCACAGAGAAATTCAATAATTTACCAAAAAGTACACAGATAATAAGTGGCAGAGCTGGGATTTGAACCCGGGGAGTAGTTGTTATAAGCTTAACATTGTGCAGGTAATATTATAGCTGACAGAAGTCAGAAGCAGTGGGAGGAGGGAGAGAGTATAGGAAAGTATATCTGAAATGAGCATCAATAAATATTGTTTGGAATTAATGGATTCAGAAATAGAGACTAAAGCATATTATTTAAAGTTATAAAGGTAACCACTAAGAAGTCCTGAATATTATAATAAAATAACTAATAAAATTTTGGGAAAGTCAGAAGTAGGTAAAGGAAGTGGCATAAGTATGCTAAATTCTTCATCTTTCTTAGTAGAGAGTAAATAAGTACTATCTAAAATTGATAAAGTAAGAAATAAAAGTATAAATATATTATTTAGAGTACTGATATTAATTATCAGAAAAACTCAAATAGTTAAAAGCAGTTACCTCTGGAGACTGGAAACCAGCTATTAAACACAAAACTTTTCTTTTTCTTCTATACTCTTCAATTTTTTTAAAAACTGTGTGCAAGTATTATTTCTACAATAAAAACAGAGTATTTTAAAGCACCCCAGGCGATTCTGATGGGGCTAGGTTTGATAGCCACCGAGCTAAATTACACCCAATATTCTTGGGGGTCTTCAAAGATAGGTGAGGATGAATGGTTTAGCATGTTGCTATTGGTCCGGAGGTACTAGGTGCTTTGGTTATACTTGTGGTATCCTTAACTTCCAAGTTACCCCAGGATGCTATTCCTAACTCTATACTCTTTTTTGCCCTTCCACTCCTTTCTATTGTCCAAACTATCCTCCCTCAAATCTAGAATCAGAAGATTGGTGGAAGGTTTGCAACATTGTTAGGGTCAAAGATAGGTAACTGATTAATTTCCATCTTCCAAGTTCAAGTGCCTGACACAGTATAAAAACAGATCTCAATTCTAGGTAATAGTTGCTCAGAAGGCATTTTTCATTTGAAAAAGTAATATGTGCATATGATTACAAAAGTGAAATAAGTCAGAGGGAGAAGGTCAAATAACGTATGATTTCCTTCATTAAGTAGCAGATAATAACAACAATAAACAAACACATAGGGACAGAGATTGGATTGGTGGTTACCAGAGGGGAAGGGGGGAGG